GAGAGAGAGAGAGAGAGAGAGAGAGAGAGAGAGAGAGAGAGAGAGAGAGAGGGAGGGAGGGAAAAAGAGAGAGAGAAAGAGAGAGAGAGAAGGAGAAAGGGAGAGAGAGGGAGAGAGAGAGAGAGAGAGAGAGAGAGAGAGAGAGAGAGAGAGAGAGAGAGAGAGAGAGAGAGAGAGAGAGAGAGAGAGAGAGAGAGAGAGAGAGAGAGAGAGAGAGAGAGAGAGAGAGAGAGAAATAGAGAGAGACACAGACAGACGGACAGACAGATAGTACTGATGTACCTGTATGTATAGGTACATCAGTACCTATACATACAGCTCTCACTCTCTCTCCCACACACGCGTTGAGGGCTAATTTACCTCATTTTCAGAAGGGGGGGGGGCGGAACTATTTGTACCAAAAGGGCATGTCAACCCCCCCCCCCCCCTCTTTGGACTTGCTTTATATGGAAGAATATATTATCCACTTTTAAAACTTCCTGGCCCGTATTTTGCTCAGGATAAAGAGACAAAACTCGCTGTAAAGTTATGACTATGATCATTAGGCTTGTTAGTTCGTAAATCTCAAGACACGAATCTAGGAAAAGAGGCTGTTAGCTTGAGACAGACATCTAGATCTACGAGTTCCTCTCTGATAATCTAATCCAATCTGAAGCGGTATTAACAAGAACGTAAGTCATAGGAAAGGTTCGTCAGAGAGGCTTCAACAATAATGGTCCAGACATCGAGAAAGTTACAAGTTCTCACAGTGTGTGTGTGTGTTTGTTTGTGTGTGTGTGTGTGTGTGTGTGTGTGTGTGTGTGTGTGTGTGTGTGTGTGTGTGTGTGTGTGTGTGTGTGTGTGTGTGTGTGTGTGTGTGTGTGTGTGTGTGTGTGTGTGTGTGTGTGTGTGTGTGTGTGTGTGTGTGTGTGTGTGTGTGTGTGTGTGTGTGTATGTGTATGTGTATGTGTATGTGTGTGTGTGAGTGTGCGTATGTATTTGTATTACGTGTATGTGTATGTGTTTGCGTATATGTATATGTATGTGTATGTGTATGTGTATGTGTATGTGTATGTGTATGCGTATGTATATGTATATGTGTATGTGGTATGTGTATGCGTATGCGTATGCGTATATGTATGTGTATGTGAGTATATGTACGTGTCTATGTGTGCATTATCATGTAGTGCATAATGTGTGATCGCGCGCGTGTCAGAAGAGCGAGCGTCGAGCAATAACCGCCCGAACGCGTTTCCCTCGCTCATCCCCGCAATAACAACACGCCCGTGTTTGTGGGCGGCGGAGCACAAAGCGACGCTGGCTTGACCTGACACGCCCGAAGGCAGAGCGAAGGAGGTGTACGAAAAGAGGGAGATAAAGAAGAGTAAGGAATAAGAGAAATAATGATCGTTTCAGTCATTATTTTTTAATCAATGATAATAAGACAGCGATGATGGTAATGATGATGATATGAATGATAATAATAATGACAATAATAATAATGACAATAATAATAATAATAATAATAATAATAATAATAATAATAATAATAATAATAATAATAATAATAATAACAACAATGATAATAATAATAACAATAACAATAATTATAACAATATAATAGTGGTGATGATAATATAATAATAATAACAACAATGATGATGGCGATAACAATAATAATAACAATAATAATCACAAATGATAATAACAATAATTTCAATAATAATAATAATAATAATGATAATGATTATTATTAGTAGTATAATCATCATCATTAATTACAAATAATAATAGTAATGATAATGATAATTAATATAACAACATAAAAAAATAATATAATCATTTATCATTATAATAAAGGAGATAATAACAATATAAATAACAGATTGTAACAGTTATAAAATCAAGTATACTGCTATTTGTTAATTACCATTAATTTCGAGCATATCATTAACGTTAATCCTATTGCTATTCACTTCATTATAATAATTCTTAACAAAATCATTATCAACATTATCAGTGACATTATTGCTATCATCATCTTGTCGTCATCGTTGTTATTATCATTAACTATTATTACTGTTATTATTATTATTATTATCATTATTATCATTATCACTATTATTATAATCATTATTATTATTATTATCATCATCATCATCATCATCATTATTATAAGCAGCAGGAATAGTAATAGTAGAGCAGTAATAGTAGTGATGGTAGTAATAGTAGCAGTAGTATCAGTATTAGTATTAGTATTAGTATTAGTATATCATTATAATCACCATAATTATTATCATTTTCGTCATCATTATCACCATCAACCTTTATCATTCTTTATCAGAAACCTATTATAACTACCTCTAGCATCATTGCCATTAGATTTCGTCATACATATAAATCCACCTTTTACAGTTGCAATCATTCTCACTGATGATCTAAACATGTCTTTAATCTATTGCATCTTACCTTAGTTCAATTGCAATTTAGTTTTGTCGGAGATGAAGGTCGATTGTAATCT